TTATTTTATTAATCAATAGACAATTTCATTATCTGCCTTTCTTCCTGCAATAATCTCAAATATTTAATTTAGATGAGGAAGCTATTGCAAACGTGTTCTTGGTTCTTGGAACTACACCACCACAAATTGAAAGTAGTATCTTGAATATGATTTTTTAATCCTTCAACATTCCAACAATGGTCCAGTTGTACGTTTCCAGGGGGGGGGGGGGGTACAAAACCAACTCCTGCCTATACACAATTATTAATGAGTCTATGGTGGCTCGGAAAGGGGGATCAGCATTGCAGAACGCCTCTCAGTAGCATAATCCACAGTTTTTTCCACAGAAAAAATATTAGAAAAACTTGTGGCTTCTCAGATATCAGTATATAGTTTGGCCATCAAAAGAAGAAATCCCTCTAATCACAGAACAGTTACAATTAAGAAGCGGAGGTTTTCCAGGTAAGACACCTTTATGAAACAGTATACTGTAGTAGAGGTTTGTTCTAAGATACCTATTGATTCCATGTTGCATTTTTAAGTCTATGCAAGGACAATATTAAGGCTAAGTTTGTGCATTCATCTCCTTTCATTTCAATTCTGTTTTGCTATTTATGTTTAGGAATTCCCATTTATATCAGGAACACACTTCAAACTGTAAATTCAAATATTTTCCTGGAGAATTCTTCCATCTAGTTGGTGATAAAGCTTCTCCCTTATTGTCATGGCTGGACCCCTTTCAAGTAAGTGAATATACATGCACCTTGGGGGCTGGTGTCCAACATTTATATGTTGTATCTTCCGTTCTTTTTGGTACTTAGACCCAAAATTTGAAAACCAGTGAGTCTAAAACTATAAATTATAAGAAAGTTTTTTTCAGAGACTATGGTAACCTCACACAGAGAAAAAAGAATTATAATAAAAGCTTGAGTAGGGCTCGCATTGTTATTGTTGAGCATGTGTTTGGATGGCTTAAAGCTAAATGAAGGATCATGAAATACATTAACACCAACAGTATTCTTGTGGAAATCATTGTGGCATGCTGTGTCCGCCACAATTTCTGCATTTTAAGAGTAGACCTTTGGGAGAATATTGAAGAAGAGGATGAAGTTGTTCGAAATGAAGAGATCCAGGAAGGAGAAAATCACCAAGCAGGCGTTGTGAAAAGGAACCAAATTGAAATGTTATTTTGATAAGCTACTTATGTTGAACAATAATTTATGTATATAATATGTATATATAAAAAAATTACTATTTTGCATCTACAGTCATCAATACAAAGTTGGACTAGGGTGGGTATTATAAAACTATTTTGACAGATAACTAAAAGTTAATTTCTGGAATTAGAGAAGTACCGTCATTTGTAACGCTCTTATGTCGGAACAAAAGAATGATCATAATTGTGCTCGACTATGCTCAGTGGTTCTTTAGCTTGGGGTGGTCTTTGGTGTTTTGGTACAGTAAAGAGAGGGCGACACTAGTTTGTATAGAATTATTTTGATTATCAAAGAATAGCCAAACTAGACACTATTCAAGTAATTAGCTATTATTTATATATTATATATATATGAAAAGGCAAAATAAATCCAATACCTTTCTGATATTTAACCCCTTCAATAAAAACACAAGTTTTGGACAAACAATAATTTATTGACCGGATGGCAAACTTGTTGTTCTTTAACATTGAAACAAATAAATTGTTTAAAGGTGATTATTGTTCAGTGTCCAATTTTATTAAGACAATTTAAGCAGCTTACGGGAAGCAAAACTTAATTTAAATAGTGTTACGGGATGATTTTTCCTGGGCCAAAATAAAAGGAAATTAGCGTATTCGCCTCACTGAATAGCATCCCTTCGTCGAGCCACTGTTTTCTTTCCAATGGTTGTGGCCACACTTTTCATCAAACTTTTCATTCTTCCCAGAATCATTGAATTAGAGGTTGAGTAATGGAATTAATTTCCTTTTAGTAGGGTTAAAATAAATAGTCAATTAATTTATTAATAAATAAAATCACCACAATATTTATATTGGAACAGCTGATTGTCTGATCCGATTAGATTGACTAGATTGACAGAGCTCCAAATAAGGTCAATGACCGGTACTAACTTCATTTAAATAAGTCCCATGCCCCAACTACCATCAAAATTCTCCAGGACCGATCACCTTGGAGTTTTGACAGAACCTTTTTAAAGGACATTGCAAGGACAAGCAGAGGTCATTCAGGTCGAGGACTTTCCACGATTAAGTGTTCGGGAAAATTCCTCAGGCACATTTTGCCGATTTTCTGAATTGTCCAGTTTTCGCTCATAAATCTAGGGTGGCTAATCCGTTATTTTAGCACCAAAGCGCCTTGCGCGGATTTCTTTGTGAGCCGAAAAACAGCAACGTGATCAATTGTTTGTTCCTAAAGGCCAAAGTATTTTGGTAAGTAGTTTTTCTTATTTGTCTTCTCTGTGTGTCTCTATTTCCTATGTAAAAGGCTAGTATTTTGTTAATTATATGGTTAAATTCCGAATATTGGACATACCTACCTATCGCTCCACGCCCAGTCTCATAAAGTCCATTTGTTTCAGGCCTTTAGACGTCACCTTATTTATTCGTCATGCTTTAGTCCTTAACTTGAGTAGAGAGTTAAGCGTTAAGCTCACTGTATATTATATTTCAAGTCGTACCTCCTATCTTCAGCCTCCTCTAGACAATTGGAAGCTTAATGACTCCTAATTACTGAACTTCAGTGCCCAGGGCCAATTGCTTCTTCTTGCGGCCCTGATCCAGTCCTAGGCCATCGGAAACACTGGAAGATATCAATCCAATCCTTATCCTCAAGAGATTAGGGACTACTCAGGTTTGATAAGTGTGTTGTATTGTCTTAATATCTGGAGCCTATCAAACCTTACCAACCACTTGTTGGAGTAAATCACCACAACGACGCAGTTCTACTACAATAATAATAATAATAATAAGAATATAACGTTTATTAAACAAAATAGTTACAAATAGCTAGATATATGAACAAATTAGAATAAACGTGAAAAAATGTATCACAATAATAAATTACCCTTCAGATTATGTGTTATCTCAATTTTAATTAATTATCTATATTACCTTTATTATATGAAACTTGCCATTCAGGTTATGTATTGTTAGGTACTTCAATTTTAAGTATTTCTATATACTACCTAGATGATTCTATAATATTACATTCGCCCTTCAGGTTATGTATTGTTACTTTAACTTCAATTAATGATCTATATTTCTCTAATATTCTATAAATACAGGCTGCACTGAATACAGGAAAATACTTGTACACTGCTTTTAAATGGCCATTTACGAAGGTACTGCATTTAATAAACTTGTCTATTAATTTATATTTCAGGTATTATTGCTGTTATACAATACTCTTTACTTCTTTATTTAAGGACTCAAGTTGAGTTGAATTATTGTAAATACTATTTTTAGAACATGTTAGGTACTCCTAGTCGATTTATTTTGTTCTTGTTCTGGTTCCAGTGTTAATAATTTTCAGTTTTCCAGGGCGTTCGGAAAACCCACTCCGAACCTACTCTAGAATCAAACCTGTTCTGGTTCAAATTAAAAACCCGTACCTGATTGTAGCAAAGCGTTTCACTTCTGCCCTTTCTTCTTGTTTACTTTTATATTTCAGGTTGTGCTGCTATAGGTCCGTAGAAGTTTCCTGTTTTCGTTATATCGGTTGACTTCGTGTACTGTAGGGAAAAGCAGGTGGCGCTCTATATTTAATTATTTAATTGATCCACACCACTCTCCGCATTGGAAGTTAGTCGGCAACCCATCACACGAAGTCCCGTTTCTAGATTTTAGCCACCGACCAACCCTATCTTTCTATTTTTTTTTTTGTTTTAGTTACCCATTCACTGTCTCACTCCCTCAACTTAAGCCACCTATTTAACGTTCAATTTTCGTTATCGGTTATTGTGCACATGCGCAGTAACGAAAAGATAACCGGTCACGCTATCAAGCGATAACGTTTCACGTTAGTTGCGGGCCTATTACGTTCGTTTAATAACCGGAAATAGACTGTGCTAGGTTGCCGCCAATTATTTTTCTATGTTCATATCTCAGTATCAAAATATAATTTAAACAGTAATTCTACAAGCATATGTTTCCATGGGTGTGAATTCACGTTACTGAGACTTTTTTTTCTATCTTTTCAAACCAAAAAAAGTTGACAAATCCGGTAATAAATAGAACAATCTGGCATCATGGCGGATCCCTGTGTATTTTTGAAAACGCCTCAAATTTACTGTCATACATTTATTCATGTTTATCTCTGCCCATGCTTTGTCCCATGTGCTATTTTTCTGTTTTGAGAATTTGTGGACTTGTTTTTGATTTGTGTTTGTGAGTTATTAGTTGTTATTATTTGTTACTTTGTTCTTCTTATCAATTATGGATCAGAGTACAAAAAAATGGCTACGTTTCACTAATCATGATGATCTCAAGGTGGGTTTATACAGCACATAACATAAAATAAGAAATAAGATAAAATAAGACATAACATAATATAATAAACAAGAATTTTGTGGCGTTCATACAGGAAATAACATAACATAAGAAATTATTTGTAACCAATCAGCTGCTTGAAAATGAAAGCGTGTCTTCTGTCAACTGTGTCATTTTGATGTCGGCCCGTGACGTGATCTGGCTTCATTTTGTATTTTGCTTTCGCTGTGTTTTGTTTAGTAGATTTGTCACGTGTTTTTTTTTTCCGGAATTTTTAAATAAGTGGAGTTTAGGGCCGTAGTTCTAGGCATTTTTTGTGAGAAATGAATTTAATTAATCAACTCAATAATGGAAGACGGACTCCTGATTGAGCAAGTCTCAAGGTTTCCGGCCTTATTCAATAAAAAAGATCCACGCTTTCGATCAAAAACGGCGAAGGAGGCCACATGAATCACAATAGGGTAGATCATGGACGCCACCCGTACGATAAATATTATTTAATACAAGTGTATTGGTAAAAAAATATATTTTGTTACAGCTGAAAAGTGTAGCGCGCAATTTGTTGTTCTGCGAGTAAAATACGCAAAGCTCAAAAAAAAAATTAAGCTGATGCCGTTAGGGGCTGGCGCCTATGAGATCGATTGGCCCCATTTCGATGCCATGGGGTTTCTAGACCCGTTTTTGACGACCAAGAAGTGAGTAGTCTTACACCTATTTTGACAAGATGTATAATTGTATTGTGAATTTATAGAACAACATCCAACATGCCAACCCTGGCAGTAGCCTCAACGAGCACTGCTACTCAACCCAGCAGCGTTTGGAGTAGCTTCCAGCAGTGTTTGGAAAGTGAAGCTTCTCAAGCAAGTTCTCAAGCTTTCCAGGCCGAAGAGCCTACCACAGGTTCCTCGGAAGTGGAAGATTTTTTTTCACCTCCGGGGACACCAACGGAGGGTACGGCTCCAGCATTGGGTCCCACCCCACCAACCAGGGTTCTGAAGAGGCAAGGAGTACAAATAACTCCTCAAAGAAGTTTAAAAAAAAAGGACCCACAAGCAGTTATGTGCGACAGTATTACAACAGCTGTTGTTGGGTTTCACCAGCGATTTTCAGGGCCCCCACCATCGGAGACGACAACCACTGATGAAAGTTTCGTCAAAAGTTTATGCCGGGACATGGAGGTTTTGTCGGCCACCGAAAAAATAATTTTTAAGAAAAAAATCTATGAAAATTTGGTTGAAATAATAGACGCCAGGACAAATTAATTTATGAGTGAGTGTAGTTCATAATTTAGGATAAGTTTTCTGTTTCATTTGGTTAAGGTAAAGGGTTTGGGTTAGGTTAGGTTACGATTAGTGAAATGTAAAGTAGGCTTAAGTTTAATAATAAAAAGATATGTTTATCATTATTGCTTATTTTTATTTATATTATCTACATGAAATGGTATAAAAAAAGTTAAATACGAACTAAATCTATTCCTGAAAATAATTTGCATTTGTTGAAGACGTCGTCTTATTTTTTATTTAAATCATATTCAAAAGTTATTTTACTTTCTCAGCAGGCCGTATGAGTTTTGCTTATTTAAAATTTATGTTTGCGCGGGTAAAGTAACGCATATTGGTTGACGGCACAGCCGCCCTGTCACCTGACGAAGATCAGCTCTATCACTCAAAGGAGTGGGAAATCACAACCAGTCACATAAAATCGATCAAACGCACCGGTCGAACCGTCTAACCCTTTACAAGGTCGCGTTCGTGCCATATTTCGAACAACGTGCCAGAATATTTGGAAGAGACGGAGGAGGGAAGCGAGCGCTCGCCAACAACCCTTCCTTTCGGAACAAGTGAGTGCCGATTATCCATTTCCTCCCATATGCGTTTCGTAATTGTATTCATATATTCAATAATTAAAAAACGACTCCTACGGTCTTAAAGGTCCTTCGAAAAGTCTAACCGCGACATTTTGGTCCAATCGAACCTGGATAACCAGCGTATCTTTTTTCTAAATTCTTAAATTCTTAAAATTTCAATTTTAATGAACGTAAAAGTAAAATTTTCTATCAGCCATTTTGTTAATGTCTTTGCGAAAGAGGAACCTATTCATCGTGTTTATTGGTATTTGGTTCTCTTTCTAGTGCATTCTTTAGTTTTTGTTTTGCATATTTATTTGCTATACTATACCGTATTCCATATTCCGTGAGTAGCGCGCATGTAAATTCTCACTCACGGTGAACGTGCAGGACGAGGACCGATATATGCGGGCTGCTTCGGACTCACTTCTTTACAATAATTTACATTCCACCAGCCACTAGCTACACACTAGTTACACAGTATTCATAGGACATCCTATTTTTAGATGGTATCTACCAAAATATAATAAATAATAAAACTTGTTTTTTTTTTCCTACACATATTTTATAGGTACCTACCTGGGTACCACTTTTATATTTAATTTATATTTTTCGATTTGGCCGCCCATATGATTAAACCACGTCAGATCACCTGCCGGATTTTTCCTTCCAATTCCGTAAGTTGGTGTCTTTAAGACATCTGGGCGGATTGAATCTGGATGATATGAATATTACGCTCTCTTGGAAAAAGACATGTGTATATGTAAATAGGTGCTTAGTTCCAAACAGATTGTCCAACGGTTCAAAACAGGTTAGAGTTTTCACATACTGCTAATGGATATTCCATGACTTGAAATCTATACTCATAAAAATTGGCAGGTTCTTACTATCAATATCCCTCTCTGCCATAGCATACAACCTCTGGGTCAGTTCGGTCTCTGATAACGTCATGATTTGCTGAGGGAAATACCTAAATATAGTTTGCGAGATATTAGATTGTGTAATACAATAGTATATTCTCATCTCTAGGACAAACATTGCAAACAAGCGAGGCTCGATCTTTAACTCTCTCTCTTTTGCATGTACTAATATAACCTACGAACTCTCAGGCACTTCCCGTCTCATTATGGTTTGGCATATTTTCTTCAGGTCCAATTCTCTTTTTCTCAGGAGCTCCAAGAGAACTCGTCTACTACTGGTAGGGCGACCAGGCTCCCATCTCAGACTTTCCTTAGCATATAGATGGTTGGGAGGTCTTGTAAGTAGAGACTAATAGCCTTATCATCGCAAACATCAATAAAATCAATCTAGATGATGATCAAATTCAAATTCTTGTAGGAACTCTAATTGACCCCGGTAATGAAGAGAGAAACGGGGGGAGTAAAAGTTTACTGTAGTGATGTTGTTGGAGATAACTTTATATAACGGTGCTGTCCTAGATAATTTAGTAAGATTTAACCTCGGCCACCACCCGTGTTTAGATGTGAAACGTATACAAAACTGTCGGGTAAACATTGCAGAAGATTTTCTTATAATTCTCCAATTGAGAAAAGTTCTGCTTTTTGATATTTTCTGAACTTAAGTTTAAGGTGGAAACTATGGATCAAGACCGATTTTTTTCTTCTTCCGAACTTTGACCCTTACAGGTCAAAAACAAAGACTTTAAACTCAGAAGTATTTCTTCGCGAAGGTACACGAAAGATTCATTGGTTAGATTAAAAATAGTTTAGGTGATGAAGAGGAATTTAAAGAAGTAAAGTTTTTAAAGAAAAATCGAAATGAAAGTAACATGGAAAATGATAAGCTTAATGTTTTATATTAAAGCTCAAAGACTATAAGCACGAAAAAAAAAGAAAATTTACTAAAAATCGTAAATTTACTTGACAAAGAGGTCCAGGATTACTACCGAAATCTACCAACAGAAAAAAGTATTCAGAACGACACAAATATGGATGTCGACAGATATCTTGCCGCAGAAGAAGAATCCGAATTTTAAAGCTAAATCTTAAAAATCGTTCTTAAAAGTAAGTACACATAAGAGTTTCTACATGTATTTTTTTTTTAACATAACTGTATTTGTTTTTTTACTACCGAAATAAAATAAATGAAAAAATATCATGTCTAGACTTATCCCTTTTTAAGCGCGTTTACATTATAGCTAAACGTCAAATTAAAAAACATATTTCCTTTCTACCGCTTCTCTCTTATATACATTGTTGGATAAAAAAAAAATAAGTAATGAAAATTATTATAATTATTTTTTTCAAAGTACAGTATTGCTTTCAACGGAATATGTTTATCTGTACTTATGTAAGAACAACAGTATCGATGGATTCTAAAAATCCTCATTGATGTAAACTAATATTTTCTGGCGCCATTTTCTAAATTGTTGAATATAAAAAACAGACCACAATTTTGGATTTGCTTAACTTAATTGCAATTTCTGAATTACGTATATCTGCTTATATTTTTTCGGAATTGAAAACAATAATGGAAATAAAATCAGCCATTTCAGATTCAGTTGAAAATAAGAATATTGAAGCCTCTACATCAGAAGCTGATAATGCCGTTGAAGTTTGGTTGAAACATGCGCCACAACGAATAAAAATTGCGGCAGCAAGAGCTGAGAAGACAATTCAGGGCGAAGTGGTGTTAAAAATGCATGAATTATTTTTTTATTGATGAGGTCGCTCCATTTTCATACATTTACAATTGCCATAATGTTAAAAAAAAGGAAAATTTCAAAACAAGTAGAAAGTGAATTATGTACTAAGTATATTGAATACAAATTTTTCATCAGATAAAAATCTAATTTTCAATCCAATGAGTGAATCGTTAAATGAAAATGCTATTGATGATGTTCGAAATGATATCAAAAATTCATCATTTCAGGTAATTAATGATTTTCCTGATTCTAGTGATAATAATTCACTTGAACAACCCAGTAATATTGACTCAATCCATATTTCCCTAGAATTATTTCTAATCTGCCACCTAATATCAGTTTGCAGGAGAGTCCAAGGAATTAGGCAAAAAACAGAAAAATTTCTCATTCGTCTGTTACTCATCTTTTACATATTCTTCACAACTATCACTTTTCACTACCATTGGATTGTAAGACGTTGCTTAAGACTCCAAGACAAATTTCAACTTAAAAAATAGGCAATAGTGAATATATCCATTTCAGTTTGGAAAATAAGATAAAATAGTTATTTATGATATAAGTGTTTGTAGAAAAAATATTTTAATTAATATCAGACTTTGCACACATTTTCAGCATTTCCCTATGAAATTTTTCTCTATAAAAGCAGATTTTCATGAACAGAATATAGATTTTTTGAAGTCGACCAAGGTAAATCGAAAAATGTCAACTATTTTGACACCTGTTATAATAAGTTCACCGCCTAACAGGCATAATAGTCGATTCCAAAAGATACAGCTCAAGAAAAGAGATCATTCTGTGAAATATACTACACGTCACCAACCAAATACGGCCTGGTTCAAAGGTTGTGGCTTTGCTATTCCAAATCTCTAGATGCAGTATACTGCTTACCTTGCCGGTTGTTCTCTAAAGATAACAATAAATGGCGACAAGGCTTAGGAGACTGGAAACATTTGTCTTTTCCGAATTACCTCACATAGCAGTAGACAAGCGTATATTCAATCATCTGCGTTAATAAATTTGTGGAGAAAAAATCAAACCATTGACCGTGAGATGAAAAATAAAATATTATTCGAAGCTTCTTTTTGAAAACTAGTTTTAGAACGGATGTTCCGTATAACTCTTATTAGTTTGACAAAAAAACTCCTTAGTTTTTCGTGGCCATAGAGAAAATATCTCAGGTTCAGGCGACTACAATGGCAATTTCCTTTTATTAGTTGAGTTGCTTTCAAATTATGACGACATAGTGATGCAAGTCATTGATATTTCTAAAAGAAGTACAAAATACTTAAGCTCGGATATCCAAAATGAACTTATACAATGTTTATCAAGTGCAACATTACAAGAAATTGTATCCCAAATAAACTTGGTACCTTTCCATATTGGATTTTGCTTGGATTTTTTCAAAAAAGCCCCCACCGGGGAACAGTACAAAAAAGTTTTGAGTTTCTTTTAAAAAAAAATCCCTGAACGCACCATAATTGAAAATGATTCATGTATTTGATGAGACTCAGTATTGAGTGAGTCTTACCAACATATTGATAATGGTAATTATATTCATGGAAGTAAGCTTATTTTTTGGACTGAGCAAAAAACTCACAAAGGTCTTAAATGGGTAGAAATTTTTAATTTTTTCGATGAAAATAACATTGTGAATTTAGTACAATATA